ATTTTAGATTGTATATCGTGTTATGTATTAGTCTTAATATCCATTTTTGTAGATTGAGATGTCACTCCCACACCAAAAGCGGTGTCGCAATTGATGATACCATCTTGGTGAAGATGGGAAATGTGTGCATGTTTCCCATATTGCACACTGTTCCCAGGCGTGTGGGTGTATTATTATTGCTCACATGTATATACGTCACTGATCCATCTTCCCACACAATTGTTATGTATTCCCATTTTTTCTCATATCAATCCACCTTATTGTGACCTCATCTTAATTGCCACACCCACAAATACAGGACCTCAATCTCAAATCCTGCTGATTATTATTGTTGCTGAATCGTAACTGAAGTATTGTTGCTGAATTATTATTGAAGTCTCGTTGAATCCTCGACTTTGTCTCGTCAATTTGTATCTGCACTCCGTTAAGAATAAATATCTTCTCTGCGGTGAATCGCAACAAAAAACCACTAGACGCCAAACTCGCTCAACCAACGATCAATCCCAAATTCTGTGCATCTCCCGAATTAATCTCTTCACCACAATCAGAGATATGTTCAAGAAAATTGAACAGTATTAATCAACGACGTTTACTTTGAATTTGCCTTCGGCGATTCGTTTCTTTGACGAGTTTTCCAACTTTTTCCACTTTTGCTCTACCAACCGCACTCTGATGGTTCAGCGTTCACGCAAACAAGGAGTATTATTGGTTGGGTAGAAAATACTTCTGTTTGATTTGAGGTTAGATTAGTTTGAAAATCTGAAGTAAGTGAAACATTCGAGATTGTGAAACTGAAATGAACCTTTGTTGTACGACTATACAACAGTAAGATGCTGCTGTATAGCAAGAGCTCATCTGAGATCTCTGTGGTTCATATGTGGATCGAATCGTTAATCATCCGCCTTAGTTTATGTTAGGAATTGTTCAAAGTAGAAGCACCAATGACGACTTTGTTTTGCTGTTATGAAAAAGAGCGGTACATGAAATGATAAATTGAACGAAGACTGATCACATTATTGGTAAACATTCAAAAACAACTTCATAGAACCATCGGGATTAACGATGGGATTCGAATAGCATTGCAATGCGCAATTGCTTGATTGGGTAACGCAGTTGGATGGAATCTCTGGTTGATTCTCACATAGCTCCTGCCTGAGATACGTTGTTCAGTAAATGGTCACAATAAGAAGACGTAACTTTTTACATATTCTTCATGTGCTTATTGGTGCTACCGACTCAAGGTGGATGAATGACCGAGGAATTCATACGAGAAACTGGAAAATTCAGCAAAGAAACGAATTACTGAGCGCATACTGGTTATTCCCAGCTCAAACCTCCAGATTGTTTCTGCATAAATTCGTGACGTTTTATCCTTGATCAGTTGAAATGATCTATGCTGGTTACAAGAACACCATGTTTTTGAGAAGAATACTGAATAATTCGGGAACCGTTACTATCGAGTTTGTCGTTCCGGTAATCACATTTATGAACATATCTTCTTCTCTCATGCATTTCATTGGAAGAACGTGTTTTCAACAAGTGTTTCATGCTAGCGAATTGAAATTCGATGTGAAGTATGACATATGAATCAACTCCTCGATGTTTGTCAAACATTCTTATCACAGGAGATCGTGAAATCCAATATTATCACATTCTAATCTCATTATGCAACTTTGTCATATGATTCATCATTTGGGTTTGCAACTTTACCTTACTTGGTGTCAGTTCTATAGAATCTCATTCTCTTGTTCCGGTTATGCGTATGAGAATTGCAGCAAAATCATTTCGAACATTGACGCATCCCTATTGCTTCTTCAGCGTTTTGCGTATCATTCTCTCCATTAAGTCACACCCCAATAATTCAATATCTCAACCATGAGTATCTTTCGTCAAAAATATATTCTTTCATTCTTCCATTTTCAAATTTCGACCGAGTTCATGTAACCATCGTTTTTTGACCAAAATCAAGTGTTCGCTAGCACCCCTCAGAAAAAGCAGCGTGTATTCGTTTCGTGTAATCGAGTCGTGTTGCTGGCCTTCGTCGGGTCACAGCTAGAGCTGTTGGCACTGATTATTGCGCTGGAACTGTTTGCATTAATTAGTGCGTACCGTTGGGGTCGAGATTGACCTCTGGAAATGAGTTGAGACGAACAATGAAGAAGATGAAGAAGAGGATTGAATCTGATGTCCTTTAGCTCGTCTTTTATGCATTTTTATCGCTTACTGATGACGGTTTATCCACGTCCATCTGATGACTTCATTGTGATCACGGGCTTTGTTGTTAGAAATCATTCCTTCTCGAATACTTTCATTTGTTTATATTTAATAATTATTCTCTCGATTAAAAATTCTTGCATCACAAAAAGTACATAATTTTGCTCAATTCGCCGGTCATGCGATACACATTTTGAATTGTTTTCATAATTTAACGGAGAATCGCTCTCACAACTGTGGAAGATGAAATGCAAGTGAGAGTCACTCCATTATCAGCAAACTATTCTCAAGCGATCATGTACTGATTCGTTCCCTCAAAAATGCATTTCAAATTTTTTTATCAGTTTTTATCAGTTCGAGGTACAATAATTCAGAAACAATTACTTGAATGAGGCCTCCTTGGCGACTTCATTCGTGACTAAAAACGCGTTCCATATGTCCACCCAACAGTGATGAGGAGTAGAGGATGGCAGGTTTGTAACGTCAGAAGAATGTCTGTAATGAGCATACCACCATAATATGTCAAAAATACATTCTATGGTTATCATTACTCGTTCTGAATAATGCAATGTTTCAAAATTTCGCTCATGAAATTGCTGTAGATTTTATAATTAATTTGAGGTGTTGTTTTTAGTGTTGATTGTCATTTTTTCATTCGCATTTTTCAGTCACGAAATTGAATTTAGAAGTCAAAATCCTCTTTAGAGTTCAAACGACAGTAGCGACTTGAAACATGAAATTTTTATTTGGGATTGTACTGATTGCACCTTTATCACGGTTACAGTATTATCCTGTTTATTTTCAGTTCAATTCAATATTTATTCGTTGAAAATTTTCTTATGATTTTCTTATTTGGAACTCACTTTGCAATTTCATGTGAATGTTGACAAAAGGATTTTGACATACAGTTCATGCTATAATAACCACCTAGTTAACCCATCTTAATACCGTTCAGTGCTCCGGTATATCTTTGTAAACATTGAAACAAATCAGAATTCCTGAAGAGTACCAATAATCATTATTCTACAATCTTGAAAACCCCTCAATAATAACACAATTGTACACGAACCAAAAATACTCGACTCGTTTTTGACGCTATAAAATGCTTTAAGCCATGAGCACGATCAGGAAAGAAAAATTTTCACTTTCGGTCTAGTTCATGTCAGGGAAGTGAACGATGTCTGCAATGCCTACAATATTCATGAAATCGTGAGGGATTGAAAGTTGTCTTGTATTACATTTCTAATGACCTGTGAGGTAATTTGATTTAGACAGTCTGTATGACTTAATTCAAACCTCAGGCGATCTATCGAGATTACGATCAACTGCATCAAATATTTGCAATATTCGTGCAAAAACGAAACCAGTACGTTCGGGATCCAGTCAGTCTGCATAGCCTGAAACGATGATATAATTTTGCCGATGTTTTGAAATGATCTATTCTAGGAAATTCTGAGCTTGAATTTGATCAAAAATACCGTAGTTTGTTAATATAATCAATTGAGAAAATTGAGAGCCAACGGAAAAATGAAAGTCAGAATTTTGAGCACTGATTAAAATTGCAAAAATTTTATATCGTTTCATTGATCGCCAGTGAAAAAACAGAAATTAAGCCGATCATTGTTTCTGTCCGTGTGAAAGTTCTGAATAACATCGATAGCTTTTAGAAAATAAAAATTATTGACATTCCAAATACAATTCATTTCTATTATTAGATTGTTTATGTGTCGATGACCAGATCGAAACGATAATTTTTGTAGTTTGTAAAGTCAAACGATGAGCATTCAATTAAGATTTGAATTCAATAAGGAGAGTCGAAGAGGATATTTTTTCGTAACTAAAAATGAGATGCTTCTCGTACAAGGTCAGCAATCATAAACAATTGTGAAACACTTCAAAAATGGCATACATGATAAATTTAATTAGTAAAAACCTGCTTTGTTTCTGTAGTTATTCACTCATTGAGTGCTACGCTTGAAAATCAACTTCCTGAACAAATATATTATCAGAAAAGATGGAGCAAAAATGTATCACCGATCAATTGCATGCGATATTTGGAAAACTCACTTTTCTTCTANGCATAAAAAATGGTGTGTACTGATTAGAAATTAAGATGAAACGGTAGTTAGATGTGAGAAGGAAACTTTTTTAATTTATCGTTTGCTGTTTTATTTTGAATTTTTCCTTCATAAAACAAATAACTGTGCCACTTTCTTAATTGATACTTCTGGTGGTTTCGATTGATTCGTGTTGACGTTCTCATCTTGTTTTTGATCACAACATTCGTTTTGCACACTCGAACAATCAGAGAATACTAATGAATTGCTTATTTTTCACACCAAATATTCCTGTTCTGTCTGCTCATGAAGTGAAATTTTGTGATTTTCTCACTCCATTTCCCGAATTCTTCGAATTAATTCAGATTGACCTACAAATTATAAGTTCCATTCTCATATCGATCAGTTTTATGAATGTTCTATGTGGCATACAGTTGCAAACATTCAACTGAAACTCAGTTATTTTTATTTTAGTCTTTGATTCAATTTACATTCTCTTGAAAAATAAGATTGGACCAAAGGTGAATCGTTTGAGACTAATCCTCTGAGGAACGCACGATTGCTGTTCTTTGAGATTAATCCTCTGAGGAACGCAGACTGATATATTCTAGCTGTAAATAACTGAAGAGTCAAAGATCGATAATGAAAACGAATCCTATATAAACGCTTATCACACTATCAACTGCATTATTCAAATCGTAACCTGATTTAGGTCCAACGACTACGAATATGCGTACCTTAGCACTATTCGTCTCAATCTTGTGCGCTATTCAAGGTATCCGTCAATGAAATCTCGTCAATGATTTCTTAGATTTCCATCCGTAATTGGAATTATTTTACAAAATCTTCATATTCATCAATGGCTAATCCTAGCGATAAGTTCTTTTCTTCACCGATTCTTGAGCCAAATTAATATCTAGCCTTACCGTATGCAATAACAAGAATAGCAAACTCTATAAGCACCGTAACAAGGGTTCATTGCAATAGCAACAGCTCATTATCTCATGCCAAAGAAAAGACGATTTAAAAACAACTGAAAATTCCATTGAGTCAAAGGTTGTTTCATATTGATCATGCAGGCTATCTTTGCTCATACTTAATGTAGAATTACACCGTAGCATAAAATTACAATAAGCAGTCATCTGGATAATCACATTCCCTACCAAAGGTGTGATTGCTTTGTGAATTCAGCACTACCGCTAGACAAAACAGCGATTCAACCAAAGATATTGCAACCGGTCGAGCCTGCAAAGAAAGGTCTCATCGTTGGGGCAGCTCAAGACGTGAAACAAGAGATCAATGGAGTGATTGAATCGATCAAGAAGGATGCTGACGTTGTTGTCGAAAAACTGGATGTGAAAATCGAACCAGAGGAGAAAAGAAGACATCATGGCGGACATGGTGGTCATGGTGGTCATGGTGGACACGGTGGTCATGGAAACCGTAATCCAGAACTCCAACGTCTTGTCGATGATATGTGGCAAGCTGATCAGGATAAACCGCACAATCAAATCGATTGGGGTAATCCCATGGACGGAAATATGGATCAATCATCAAATCCGTAAGTTTCACGATTGTCAGCAATATCGCTCGAATAATCAACTTTAACCTTTAATGCCTTGAATTCTTGAATTCAAATCATCAATCGTGATAAAATAAACATTTATTGTGATGCGTCAATTTGATTAAGAGCAACACAATCAAGATACAGTGCGATAAAGTGAGCATATGGAATTGGAAGAATATCACTGAGAACTTTGATACGAAGTAACTATCAAACAGTATTTGCAATAAACAGTTTGTAATTCTTCAAGCGCATGAAAAAACATTCAAACACAATTTCTTTAGATTGATAGCAAATGTGGACGAGAATGTTCTCCAGAATGATCAATATCAAGCATTGTTAGCAATGTACCAAGCGAATGTCTTCACGCCTAATGTAAATGTTTCACTTGCATTCTGAGATATTCCGACATTTCAATCGCTCACATTAATTACGCGCTTAACTTGAGCTAATATGTGCTAAGCGAGGATAAAATATGATCGTTTCAAACCTTTTGCTTATTCGCTAACAAAAATTTCCTGATCACAATGGCCACTTTTGCAATACGTATTTTCCGAATTTGCAATTGAACACAAAAATCTCAAAACTGTTTTCATCGATAGGTATGTGAGGAAGAACAGCCGATGACTGGTAATAAATTGCAAGTCGTGCAGAATACTTTCAACGCGTTCGTGCAAACACCAATGTTCCAACTTGCATACAAGTACATGAGAGATCATGGTTGGTTAATGAGCAACCTATTGGACATAGTTGAATTCGATATGAAGTAATCCTTTGTTGTGGGAAGTGATCCTGAAAATTTGGTTGTAAAAGGGAAGTTGCATAAATGTCTGATTTGACCAAGTTCAAAAGGAGGATTTAATTCGACTGAACAGATTCGAATTTGAATATAGGAGTTGCTGGTGAGTGGAACGAATTTAGCCAAAAATTATGGAATCTATGGATGGGAACGTATTCGCGCTGTCACCACCGTGCACAGGGAAGCTCAGGTTAGAATTCGAGAATTTTAATTTTTAATTCACATCCAAAGGAGATTACAGTTGAGCACATCACTCAATGAATTTTCGAAGCAATAATGCCATCATATCCATAAGTTTTTATCAACCATTAGAATGTCCACACAGTTTGATAGAATTCGATAAAACATTCATATTTCTTGTGAATTTCATCTTTCACCGTCGAATGTGATGAACAAATCCCTTGAAAAGTTTTCCGCAATCCTTTGAAAGTGCATTCAGTCAGGAAATATCGTTTAACACTTTCAGGATGGGAACATGTCTTCATCGGTGAATGGAAAGGAAACGAAGTTGATGGTCAGCACTCATGGGTGAAATATTACACTCTTCAACAGGCTGATCAAGTCGATTATTACGGTTACAAGAATCACGATGCGGTAATTGCTCGAAAATCATTCTCGTATTATTCTCGAATACACTCAAATGACCTGAATTGCTATTCATGAAATTTCAAACAACCTACTGAAAACTTTCAAACGATAACATTTCATGAAGGAAAATGTGGAAAAAATATTCGTATCAGGTTTCACCATTCAGAGACTGTTAAATTCGGCTGCATTCTATTCTTAACTAATATCCAATCCACTTTCATATCTATTTCAATGCTAATGGATTACATCCACTTAGGCAAACTCAATATTTCTATCATTCAGGATCTCATCGGAAGTTTCCAATACACTTGGGAAAATCACTTGAAGAGACTTGGTGGCTTCTTCTTGAACACATCACCAGGTCAGTTCAATTGTACTAACTACTGAACAGTTTGATTGAATCCTCAGAAGTAGGGTAACTGATCATTAATGCAACGGTACAAGCAACCGTCGTAGGTATGATGAGAGCAACCACAAAATGTCAAGTATAGCTAAGAAAATGCAAAAATCCCAAAATTTTGTGAGTAAATGAGAACTTCTGAACGCAACATTGCAAAAAAAGAAGGAATTTCCTTGCGTTCAACCTTCAGGAAATTTGAGAAACGTTTGTTTGCTTTTGAATGTCGCAATTTGATTCACATATTTAGTCGGAAACGTTTTCACGTAAAACTTCTTTTCAATTTCAGCGTTCGACTTCTCACTGCTCACAGTCTGCGCACTAACAGAGCCTGGTGCAAACGGGTGCAGATTCATGCTCGAAAACTTCCCAGTGAGCGTCACCTCCTATACACAGTCATGTGATGCGGGTATTTGTCTAGCAACTGCATATCCAGCTGAATAAAGCTAACATACAATCGAACAAATCCATCCTTTTTAGTTTTTTAAATCTCTTCTCCCATTTGATTTAATGTTCCAACTGCAGTTCCATCTTTTTTAATGTCTAAATAAAAGTTTAAAAGCAAGCGAGTATGAAGGTGATAACACAATGGCAATGTTCATAAGTGAAAAGCATTTTATTCAAACGAACGAATGATCATAATAAGGGCTGCTGGCTATGAAACTCGAAACATGATAGTAGCTTTTTTGGAGAACCAACTCAGCAATAATTGCAAAGCAAATGAAACATCATAATCATTATCAATAATGACTAGTTAGACGAACATACAAACAAAACAATAATAAGTTCATTCAAAACACGCAAATAACCCTGATTCAATCGTTTCCTAATCTCAGCGTACATGCAGAATATTAATGGTTGTTATTTTGCATTTTGAGCGGAGTGACCCATTTTCACTTTAAAAATATCGATTTAAGCATTATCTACCGAGATCTCTAGTTCCTAATCCATTCGGAGATGGCTGCAATAAACTACGAGGTTTGATCGATCTTTCCGAATTCCAGTAAAAATACAATACTGAATTAAACGATAAAAAGGAAAAAAAGATAACAATCACTATCACACTGCCATTTTCCATAGTTTCCGTGTTGAAATTTGCATGATTTATGTGTTCAAATCTGCGTTTTCTCTGAATGAAACTTATCAACGAATGCACTCAATAACACCATAAATGACACAGGTTAATCAGACAGCAAACAAAAAACGAATATTGAAACAATTGCAATAACACACAATTCTGAGTTGGAAACGCTTGAAAAGCTGTTTCGTTGTAATTCCAAATTAATAATAGTCGAGGAGATGGATTGGTGAGAAAACAATTTAAAAACAATTTATGCGATTGATTTAACAAGAAAAGTGAAATTTAATAATCAATAAGAAATCTAAACTTTGAAGGAAAATAATCATCGATCCATGCTAACCAACATAAAGCAAATACAAAAAATATGAGGATGTCAGATGCGACGATCCTACACTTATTAATTAGATTAGAGGTAATTCGGAAGAGTGGGATTAGAAGAAGATATGAATAACGAGTAATGGAAATGAATATGAGAAGAACAAGGTGAATGAGGTGAAAAATATGGTAAAATCGATAAGGAATTACTAAGGAGTTTAGTAGGATAGCTTTTGCTTAGTACCACTGAATTCATTCGACTGAACATTACAATCGTTATCTCGAAATGAAATGTAAACTGAACCAATCTTATGTATTCTATTAAAGTGAATAGTAAAAACTGTTCCAGTACTGAAATAATCAACATACCAAATTTATTCGGATGTAAGCAATTTCATCAAATTGCAGTGAAATTAAGTTATTAAATACAGTATCGATGAAATAAGCAATGCGTGGTCAATGTAACGACGTGTTAGAAGCACCAACGAATCTCAGGTAATAATAAAATTTGTCGATAAGATATATACATATATGTTAGTGCATCTTAACCTTCATCGTCAACGTTAGCATTATATAACAACGGCTTTCGCCATACCCTCAGTATTTGTTATGTTAGTGGACGGTGACGAGAGGGGAACCGTTTCGGAACCAATCGAATTTTGAGATGGTGAATTGCCCATTCCTAGTGCTTGGTGTATCATTCGGATCGGGATTCCACCAACTTGAGACGGCATTCCAGAACTCTGAAACACAACGATAACAGATAATATTAACCGTTTTCGGATAATTTTATGCCAATTATAAATTGATTTCAATGAGAAGTTCGCAAAGCAAGAAGTGAAACATTATTTGGGATTTGAACTGGTAATTTTACGAAGCTGAAGTAGTTGTGAAATGCTCCGATATCACAGTGGGCTCTATGAACTGTTGACAACTATTTCAACTAGACGTCATTGATTTTGCTGCGTTAAGTATCCCCAATATATTTGGAAGATGTTGAATGAGCACGAATGCTATTGGAGAAGCTTAAAACAGAGAGGACAAACTCACTTGACAAGTTGACGGTAAAGGAACCATGGCCGTTTTGCCGTTTTTATAGTCGTTGATGAATTCCTTCACAATTTCCGTGCTAACATCGGGTTTATCGCATACGCACATCCGGCCACCAATAACGTCAACGATGACAAGCATCGGTAGTTCGGCATCACCCAGACCTAATCCTTCCAACACTAAATCACATAAAGGATCTTCGCCCGTGTAGAAGATTTGCAGTGGATCGGCCCAAGGTGGTATTGAGACATCGGACGATGCACAGCTGAAATTTGATTAATTCTCACATTCACTATCGGCTGTCAATCAAAACCAAAGCGATTTAGTTATTTTAGGCTCTCAATATATTAAAATATCCTGAATGTGTCACTAAATTTAATTCAAAAAAACAATTACATCGTAACAATGCACTTCAAATACGGCATTCACCGAACACGAATAAAATGAAACAATTAATCGACCAAACGAACCTGTTGACCGAATTCGTGGAATGTGTTAAATTCGAGGAATCTGTCGTGTTTCCGTTCTCATCTTGACTTTCACTTTCTTTCGAATCTTTTGAAGGAGATCTCTTCAAGCCCTCAGACCGTTCAGCAAATAAACTATCAGCACTCTGTCGAAGCACTTCAACTGAGAACGCCACATCTTCAGGTGAACCTTCTAGAAATTATCGCATTACGTCGATGTACCTCAATCCTCTAATTTCACGAAATTTTTGCCAGGATGAAAAGATCAGCCGCATTCATCCGCTGAATCGACAGGCAACATTCATTATGATTTTCGATTGTTAAATGGATTGCAAACACGATAATTTATGTATAATGATGAATATCAAAGCGATATGGAAGAGTAATAAAAATTAAATGTTGTTCATAAAAAGCAACGCAATTGGATGCTGATTTTAACCTGTGAAGAGAACAAGAGAAGGCTCGTCTCTGAGACGACATAAGGTGTGCTCGTTCAGCTCATACATTGGCTGAGCTCCCCATGGAAAGAGTTTACCCTGTGGATCGTTTAGCATAGCACTTCGGCCATGCCTCGTTATTATATTATTCTCTTCATCCAATATCAAAAATGCTGGGATACCTGCAAAAATTGAATTCAATCTTTCCAATGTTAATGCAATACGCTCACTATTTCGAAGGAATGAAAAAATCTGAGGCTGTAATCAATACAATGAAGAAGCGATTAAATGCGAACAACAAGATTTTCGTAAAGAACAAGAATCTAGAAGAAAACTTTTAGGTTAAAAGAACGAAAGTTATGTTCTCAAGAGAAATGCATACCGTTCACGTTATATAGACGAGTAAACAGTGTTAATTTATGGTGATCGAACGGGAACGCAAGCCAAGGCATCGTTGAGAAGTGCTGCTCGAATGATTCCTCTGATCTGCAGATATTGCACTATTTTCTCACTTGGAATCAATGATACCGGACAACGATATTGTCTTTCATGCAATAATCAACACAAAACATAGGTTGGACGAGAGTTTCGTTCTCAAATGGGTAATTCCGGAAAATGGAAAATGTGATTTGTGAGAAAACTATGGTGCACTGCAGTTTGATGATTTCATATTAATTTTGCATAAACCTACCCAATTGGCACCGAAATAAATTCCTTTTACTGTGGGTGCGAGAGTCTTGAAATCAATTGTTGTGATCTTCTTCTGACCATCCGTTGTACGAACATTACGCAGAACATTACCCTCGAACAGTTGTTCAGTTCTCGGATTTAACCTAAAAACAAAAGAAATTTCACATCACAAATGAATCTATGACTGCAAATTTCAAAGCTATTCAAGGATTTCGAAAAAGTGAATATTTCATTTGCTCTTCCAAAAGAAAAACACTAGTGCATTGGAATTGAGTAGGAGTTGAAACCAAAATGAAAAAGTGAAAATTTATCAACGACGGATTATTTCAATCAAATGCACATTCAACAATATTCACATGCAACTTTTCGTTTTCGACGAATAAATTTAAATTTCTTGAATTTTCGCAAAAAAAGTCGCCTGTTTTTTGAATTTTTCCATTTGTTCAGATCCTTCAATTCATCGAGATGTCTGACAATCGATAAGAAACAACAAAATGATGGAATTTCGTAAGAAACGCTTGATTGGTATATCTATCAGATGGTCACAAAATGACCAAACTCAGTTGACGGTCATTTGTTTTTAGTGGACGTGATAAATCAGCGCGCATCCTCAATCATACTAATAAAATTCGATCGTTTTGTGGAACGATTCACGACTGAAAAAGTCCCCAATTTAATTGCGCTTTGTCAAATCAATTCTGACATCTGTTTGAGTGCCGTTTCACTAAATAAACAAAGAAGAAACTTTGCGAAATTGAGATACTATTTTGGATGGGAAAGACTAGTGACGAGTGGGAATTTTTTCATTCCACAATGTGTGCGGGCTCTTGAGTTCTTCTCATCTCATCAGTTCTTCATCGCTACAAAAACAATCTCTCAATTGTAGAAAAAATTGACAGCTAAATGCTAGCATAAGATAAAGCAAAAACTAGATTTTTTCATTGAGTGCCAATAGAAATATGTCAATACTTATGAATGTTACCACAAAAAAAAACTAATTCAATTGCGCA